TGCCATCAGCTTGGCGTTCGGCCTCCCAATTCTTTTTGGCCAGCTCCGTTTTCTCCTCACTCCACTTGCCCAAATAGTATTCCTGAAACTTAGAATTCTTGCCCTCACGTTCCTCGTGGTATTGGCGCACATGATGGCCATGGCAGATCTCATACGACCAATAGGCCTCAATGCGAAACGAACAGGTGGGCGCCGAGAAGATCGGCTGCAGCAGTCCAATTGGAGCTGGATCGTAGAATATTGCAATTAGATGAATGCTTGGCTAGAATTAGACACCTCGGCGCCACTTACATTGTTCCGGCTCATTGGTTTTCTCCTCCTCCTTGGGCAGCTCCAGTGAAGGTATCAGACACTCGAATTTCTCCTTCTCTTGTGTGTAAAATGTGCGCAGCTGATTGCCCAATTCCTGTGATATAGTCGTGATATATAGTCATCATATTTTACTTTAAATGGAGCTGCAGTCTTGTTCTTACCGGTTCTGCCAATAGATCGGGCACTTCGAAATCTATTTTGTAGAGCACGGAATCATCAAAGTCTTTGGCATCGTGCGCTGCTGCGGCAGCGACTAACAAAATGAGCGCCAGCATTATCTGTGGCATTTTCTGTTTCCCCTGTGTTGTGCTGTGCATTTTAAAATTTATTTTGTTTGTGTTTTTTTTTTACGTTTTTATTTTCATAACACACGCAAATTACACGTCGTCTAGAAAAATAATAAACATCTGATGCGTTTCAGCTGGAAGCAAAATGTGAATGGCATATGTTGACGTAGCACGGTGAATGGCAAACAGTGAGTACACAGTAAATATTTAAAATTTGAATTATATTTGAATTGTACTTGCATTCGGATTAACGGTTTTGAATTAACCGCAATCGTTGATTTTTAATTAATTGGAACCACACAAAAGTCTTAAGAATGCATTTTCTTCTTAATATAAATAAAAAACATGTTGATTTCCCCAATATAAACAATAATAACTACTGGGTTGAGAGCCTAAAATGGTCGTTTTATTATTGTACATTATCGTGATAAATACCTGCATCATATATAAATTATGTATACTTTATATAAATATGCCCCTAGGCCCCTAATCCCATAATGAAATTAATATTAATTTTTGAACGTATTTTATTTTCATAAATATGTAAAAGTAGTTTTCCTATCTGCTTTCCCCTGTTGCATCATCTGACGCCGCTGTCTCACTGTTCCCCGTGGACCAGCCTATTTCCGATTTATGGTCATTGTCTAATGGCATTTTATCAATGGCATCGAGTATGAATTTCAGGGAATGCGTTGTACGCGGCAGCCAGTCCATAAATCGAGATGTGGGAGCAGCTGGTGTACTTGGCTCGCTGTCATCCACAAAATCATCGTCGCCGCCCGACATGGAGCGTCCGGCGCCCAAATAATCCTGATAATCGTAATCGCTGGTCAAGGGATTTACTTTGGAGTAGTAAATGGCAGCGAATGTCGAGTAGATAATCAGAAGCGCGGTACCAACCTACGAAAAACAGATAATAATACCATTTGCTGCTGTTAAATCAGAATCTCGTATTGATGTAATACCTGAAAGACAGCCCAGAACTTGTAGGAACCCTCAGTGATGACGAAATCATAGTAGCCCTTGAGCGGATCACCCTTAATGTAACGCCCCTCGCCCACATCTGTACTCGCTGGCTCCGGCTCCGGCTCACGCTTATGTCGCTGTCCACGCACCGAGTTCTCCGGAACAGCTGCTTCCTTGGCACGCTCAGGTGCTGCTGTCGTCTCTTCGGATTCATCGGAGTCGTTGCTGCTGCCGGTAGAGCTGCTGCTGCTGCTGGTGGTGGTTCTTAGCGTTGTTGTAGTCGTTGTCTTGGCCTTTTTGGTCTGATTAAGCTTGGCAAATTTATCGCCCTCGATGCGTGGCGGTTTCTTCGAGTTAATTCTGGACTTGATCTGCTGTTGTTGCTGGCGCAGACGTTGCTTCTGCAGACGCTTCTTTCTTAGCTGCTCGGTGCTCTGCTTATGACGCTCGGAAACCGTACCCCAGGCGCTCGTCAATGCCTGATAGAGATCCCACAACTGTTTGATGGCCTTCAAAAATGTTACCAGCGTAGATTCTGTGGGCACTGGCGGCGCATAGGCCACAGCATGGGCAGGCGCTGGTGCCACCTGCTTGGAGACGGCAGGATCCTGGGGACGCTGCTGAAAGCCCATGGGATAGTCGTACACCTCATCGTAGGCGGGATATGGAGCTCTAAACAAATCGCATAGTTAGTTGGCTGTTATTCCAAGAATTTGGTGCTTGTTCTTACCGATTGCCCACTGGCTGCAGCTTGCGATTGTCACTGCCGACGGGCGCTGCTGTCTGTGTGGCATATTGCCATTGCCCGTAGTAGGCGTCGTGGGGACGTGCCTGCGCCGCCCTGCCCTCGCCTGCCGACGACTGCTCCTCAGAGGCAGCTGAGCTGTCGCTGCCCAAGTAGGGCTCCTCCGCCGACGACTGCTCGCTGCCATAGTCAAAAGCAGAATATTCAGGGTAAGTGGCATCCTCGTACGATCTGCCTTGGGGCGGACCAAACGAATCCCGTCGCTCGGCCATGGGCGGTTGCGCACTTTCGGCATTCACAACCACCGCCTGCTGCTCCTCGTAGTAGTTGTTGCTGCGTCCAGTTGCTGTCACGTGGCTGGCATTTACCGCATCCCTGGCTATGCGCTCCACAGTGGCGGCAACTGCGCCGTCCGATTCGTTTGTGGCCGCTCCAAAATGCGACCACAGACGCCGCACAATAAAGACATCAGCCAGGCGATGATCTGCCGGTGACTCAGCGCGACCCGCCTCAAGCAGCGCCACGCCCGTCAGGGTCAGCGCAAAGAGCAGCATGGCTAGCAGCAGAGTCCACAGGCCCGGCGTACATTTGCGCTGCGGCTTCGTTGACATATCAGAGTATCCTATCATTCTGTTGGTGTATATGTTTGTAGTAATCCTTATTCCTAATCCTTGTCAGCGACGTGCCAGCTGCCGTTCGGCTGGGTGTTCACACGTTAACTAAACGCAAAACTTAACGCGATGTGCCAGAAAAACTCAATCCAAAACCCAATGATCTAGGCATATTTTTGGATGTGTGTGTGTGTGTGTGTACGGTGCTAATGCAGAGAAATGTATGTGCTAAAGGCCCTGAAACTCCCCATATACTCGCATTGGTATCTAGAACATCTTCGTCTCGACGCAGCCTCGTTGAAAGGTGTTAATCTGTGGGCCGCGTATTGCATGGATATTGGGCCAGTGCTCCAGATTCGATTTAACGGTTCATTCGACTACGAATGCTACACCAATTATCATCCCCGATACATACACACATTAATAAATATATATATAGATGTATATGTATCCATTCATTTATGCATAATCCCAGCACTACAATTTACTCCACGCGTCTTCACTTGTTTACCACAAATTCTTATTCGCGGTGAAAGTGCGCAACTTGAGATCCGCCCAAGCTGCTCGTCCCCGAACCCTCGGGCAGTCTCAAGATTGAGATCAAAGTCGAGCATTTGCTGGCAATAACAATAATCAAGAGCTGGTCCCGGTTCTGGCGTGTGGCACACGTATTATCACATTCCACATCAGATTTTACATGGTTAAACATAAAATTACATATATGTAGGTATTCCATATGGAGAACTGAAGCGTGGCTCCTTCATTAAAGCTGAAGAAAGAAATCTGCCATGGCAAAGTGTGTTGACCATGTAGATATTATCTTTAACGGTATGCCATCTATTAATAGATACCATCTAGTTAGAATAAATTGAGGAAAAGAAAATGAAAGGAAAAGTCGAAGCTTAAATACTCTATATAAAAGTCCTTAGAGAACATAGACCCAGTTGGATCTGTGTACGATGTGACCTCCATTTTTATATGCAAAAAGTTTAATTAGCATTAAAATTGAATAGTTAGTCAATCGGAAACATTTAAATATATATATTAATATATACATCTGCAGTAGAAATCGATAGAGTTCTCTCGAATCCCTTAATACCCGCTGTAATCCTGTCGAAAACTGGAATATCTTTGTGCAGTAAGATATACCCAATTGCAACGGGCAGAAAAAATTCAAATATATTTAGAATAATTCAAGCTGAGTTCGGAAAAGAAACAAATATTTATTATTCTTTTAAATATATTATTTCTAAGCTGATCAAGGCCAGATTCTGTATTACTTTGTTGACGAAAATTCGAATTATACTTGAAAATTGTTATTATTATTGTTTATTATAATAAATAGCACTTTTAGTACTTTTATCGTAATAATGAAGTTATTTCAGTTTATGTTTGCTGCCAAACAATTGTGAAAAACTAGTTTTGTTCGCTTTGCAACATTTTGTGATCTTCTCATGACACTTTCGAAAGAGTTGTGCTTCGATTGGAGATTGTAAGCTAGAAAATACATGTTCAGGGCAGAATTACCTTGTAACTTAACTATTCGATACGCAGTAAAAAAGAAAACAAATATACGTTCTGATAAGGTCGAAGTGCCTGCATGATAATGATGATCATAATGATGATGAATAATATGCGCCACAGTCAAAGAAACACCTGATTAACAACCTCTTGTTTGTTGTTTACCAAATATCAACAAATGCGCAGTAAAAATACCGGCAAATTGAGCGAAAAGCCGGCAAAGAGAACGTTATCATTAGGGTGGACCTGTTTCTCATTTACTAATATCTGAATTTAACGACCAATTGCCATTATGTTAGCATTATGATATAGTAATCAGATGGTGAGGGGAGAGTATGGGTTAGATATTTATAAAAAAAATTCAACCGAAAACGCAACATCAAGAATTCTTAGCTCTAGAATCTCAAGTCAATAAAAATATATATACTTTTGAACAGAAATATTTATTTCCTTGCATCCGTCTCTGTGACCCAACTAAATATAATTATTTTTAAATTTCAATACACGTTTGATCTTCCAAGCAATATATATTTTTCAGAAACAAGAAATGCTAAACAATTAGAATATCAAACCCAACCTTAGGTCCTCTAAAGTTTATTTCTATATCTACAATAGTCATATATGTTATAAACAATTTTCAAGTATATAATTTTATATATAATTACTTATATATAAATACAACAATCTGTGGTTAATATAGCTAACAGGTGATAAGTATTGTATCTATGTAAACAATAGCATAACTTTCTCCCTCTTTTGCCTTTCACTTTCATGATTATTTTATGTTGCAATCAAAATTCGATACGGTTTCCTTTTACTTGTTTATCGTAAGGCAAACAATTAGTTTTTGCACGACTTTTTGTTGTTATTGGTGTTCACCAGCTTGGTTAAAATTTTCCTCGAATGTCCCGAGGGATCGAAATGATTGGTATGATCGCTGGCTTCCTTCTTGGAGCGCTGCTTGCCGCTGTGCGCGGTGAAGATGTGTTTGCCGTGATCGAAGTTGTAGTGCTCGTATTGGTCGAAACTCGCTTCAGACATAGTGATTTATTGATATTGCGACTGCTTGAGATCTCTTGTTATTATTTGGGCTCTTCAATTGGCTCGGCCTTTGTTTTTTCCGGGGATATGTCGCTTCGTTTTGAGTTCTGCTATCACAATGACTGTGGCTACGTTTTCGTGCATCTGAAGAAAGCTTCGACGCGTATGTTGTCAACATCTCGAACACTCTATCTGAAAACGAGTATCTCGCTCTCTTTCAATCCAGTTTGCCACGCTTTAGTCTCACTTTTTTGCTCTTTGGCTCTCGCAAAGCTTTTTAACGCGGCGCAAATCTGTTGAAATGGGTATGCTTATTAAACAGTATGCATGATTATTAAATAGCTTCTAAACTCTACTATTAATTAGCGTTGGTTTATAGCCATCTAGATTGCTAATTTCATAAACAAATAGGAACAATTAATATTACTACAGAATTTGCGTCCACCCGCTTGTTATATTTTAGAGTATCTATATGCTAGCGACGTCTCTCATATAGTGTATTTTCTAATTGTCTAGTAAGTCTGCATTTTGTGGCATTCGCTTGCTTTAACACAATCACAGTCACACTTTTTAGCAAGCTAAGCATGTAAAAATTGACTAAGTGACGCAGGTGCCGATTTAAATCAGTTTAGTCTGCTATTTCATTGGTTGCACTCAGTTTCCTGAACGTGTACGACTTTAATCAATTGCATCTTTTGGCAGCAGCGTCTTTAACCGTTTTACACTTGGCGTCGTCACATCTGGCGTAATTTTGCGATTCTGTCGAGTTGACTCCGTGGCATTGCTATCCTTGACACTTCCCACTGGCAAGGCATTGATGGGCGGCAGTGCAAAATCATCGGGCATTTTATTTTCAAACGAGCTGTCTACTGTCTCTGGGAGCTCCAGCTGTACCGCTCTTTCCGTATGCACTCGCTGCACATGCTCCTTCATTTTGTCCGAGCGATGACTACTGAAGCCGCACAGCTGGCACTTGTAACGATTGAGGCCGCCTTCGGTGTGCTTTAGAGCATGCCGCTTTAGATTCTTGCTCTGACTAAACTTGCAGCCGCAAATCTCACAGATGAAGTCGCGCCCCTGTTTGTGTGTCTCGATGTGAAGCTTCATGTTCTCCTTGCGATTCGCACGATGCTTGCAGCCAGGGACAGTGCAGGCAAAGAACTCCCCGGTGTGCAGGAGCTTGTGACTCTTGAGGGCCTTCATGTGCGTGGTGCTATAGCCGCAGACATCGCAGAGCATCTGCTTTTCGGGATTGTGGACCAGCATATGATTGCTAAGACCCTGTTTCCACTTGAAAGCCTTGCCACAGTGCGTGCAGACATGAGGTGTTTCCGTTGAATGCTTGGGCTGATGGACGAGCAGAGCAGCCCGCGTGTTAAAGCGATTGTCGCACTCCAGGCAAAAGAAGGGCTTGCGCCGATCGGAACCATGTCTGCGCAGATGCGCATCATACTCGCGCCAATCCAGAAAGCCAATTTCGCAAAGCGAGCACGTCAGGTGCGACGGCTCGCAGCTAGTCATGTGGTCAATCATCTTCTGCACTTGATAGCACTTGAAATCGCAGCCAATGCAGTAGTTTATTTTGCTGCTGGACTTGACTGCGCGCGGATTCTTGAGCTACCATAAAAGAAACCTATTGTGAGGGTGTATCCATTAAATTGGCTTGTTTCCTACCTTAAAATAACTCTGCTGGTTTTCAAAAACAACATCCGGCTTTATTGCTGGCTGCATAATATCCTCCGCATCCCCTTTAACGGCACTTGGCTCCTGGCATGCAGTAACGTCGCTGGTCTGTTCTATTTGGTACAGATTGAGCAACTCGGTTACAGACAGTATCTTAGCTAGCTCTCGAAAATGCGCCTCGTGCTCCTTGGAAACGGAGACAATGTCCTCGTAGAAGAAGTCCACGATGGTGTGCAGGCACACGGTGCAGTTGAAGTTGCGAATAGTGACTTTAAGTGGATTTTGCATTGAGAACTGTTGTTGTTTTTGCTGTTTGAGGCCAATGAGCTGGCTTTGAGCGGCCACCACGCAAAAGTGGACGCTGCATGTGCAGGACGCATCGTCCGAGTCTAGTTCCAACTGCAAGTCACAAAACTGTCCCGTGCGGCGTTGATTGTTTAAATAGTTGGAGACTTTCGAATGCAGCGGTTGGTGTAAGGTGGGCTGAACAATTGGCGTTTGCAGCATTGCATTAAAGTTTTTTTTTTATCCGTATACAAACAATAACAAAGATTGTAAACAAGTCGATGCGCTGCTAAGAACAGCTGTTTGCTGCGATTTGACATTCACTTGTTAACGTTACACGATAAGCCATTCACAATTGACGCGCGCAATTTAAATGCTTTGCATGACACGCTAATCAAATTATACGTTATTTTTAAGTTGTTTATTTAGCTCCTAAGCTTATTTTCGTCTTTACTAAAGTGTTTATTCGAATCTTTTAAAAAGGTAAGCTAATTTGATATTATATATCAATTGGCAAATGTATTTTGGCCGGCAGGAGCAGCCTTATCATTTTGTATGCCGCAGTGATAAGCGATTTTAAGCGTTGGTGGAAGCTTCGTTGGAGCTGCGACTGTCTGCTCAGTCGTGCCGAGCACAGTGAAACGAACGGGCGTTTTAAGTGATAGACAAAGGCAAAATCAACAATAATATATAGCCTATATATACATCAGCGTAGAATCGTAGAAAATGGAAAGGTATAGTATAATATATCACTGTTAAGCCATTTATAATAGTTCAACTCTTACAGCATTTGGCAGGAGTGCATATCGTTTTTAAAGACCCTGCTGTGCTTTATGGTGGCGCTTATGCTGTTGCCATTGTTGCTGCTATCATTTGTGTGTAAGTAATAAAGTTTTCCGATCAATAAACGGGCACGCGCTGACCCAGATGGGCCCATTAATCAAATAGATCAAACGGGCCGGCTATAAATAAACGAGGCATGGGTTGACTAACCGCTCATTCAGCCAAAGGATGCAACGGTTCAGATGCGCCAGCATTATGGGATTCGCATCAATAGCCCTGTCAGCGATAAGGGATGGAGTGTGGGCCGCACTACCATACGCTCATGCCATTGATAAGCTTTGTTTATAAATAATATAGCCGAACAATGCGTCGCTGATTACCTGTTGCACCTTTGCGGAACCCAGACGAGCGACCGACCAGCCTGAACCTTGACCAACCGAATTACTCATAAAAATTTGCCAACGATAAGCCGCAACGTTTGATTTTTATGGGGCGGGTGCGCGATTCGAGTCTTATTCGTGGAACAAGCGCATTATCGGCATGATTAGGTATATATAGTATCGCATACATCTCTTTAATTTTTGTTTTCTTTATAGGCGCGCATTTAACCAACGAGCTGGCCAACTATGTGCTGAGCATCAAGTATCCCAATCTGACCATATGCAAGTCCAAGAAGATTCGCACACTGATCGATACGCCCAAGAATGCGGGCATCTTTCACTTTTTGCTCCAGGTGGAGGGCAACTGCGATTTTGAGCGCATCAAGCGCGCCTATGCGCTGCAGCTGACCGAGCTGAAGGACAAGACGGGCATGCTCAAGTTTCCCAAGCTGCGCCAGAAACTGGTCACATGCTGGGGCCACTATGCTTGGGTCAACGATAACAGGTGTGCCACAGCTTCCACAGTTTCCAAAAGGAGCAACTAAGTTCCAATTGCAATTTTCTACTTACAGCGGATTCAACATCAACAATCACGTGGTGCTCAGCACGCATCGCTATCGCGGACGTCCTGTGAACGAGTCGAATATCCAGGAGCATGTTAGTGAGCTGGCCGCCAAATATATACCCTCGGATTTGCCGCAGTGGCAGGTGACGGTCATACCCAACTCGGACCCGGCACAGCCCTACTATATACTGATCAAGGTGCATCACCTCATCATAGCCGAGGAGGAGGACTTGCATGTGGGCGAGATGCTCTTGTTGCAGGACACCGAACGCAAGCCGATTGTCAGCCTGCAGGATGCAGGCCTCATTCGGCCAGCGGGCACCAAGCAACTGTCGCACTTTGTGCGTCAGCCGGAGCATATAAGTAAGCTGGTGAATCATGTGCTGCATCTTGTGAGCTGTCGCTGGCAGCAGTTCATCTACGAATTCGAATCTCTGGACACACCGGACGGCGTCAAAGCGCATCCGGATGCACGCAATCTCAGCCAGCTGCTGTCCCTGGTTCTCATCGTGCTGGTCAACGTGTGCCTGGGCTATTGGCGTACTCGTGCTATGCGTCGCAAATGGCAGCGTCGCTCGCCCGGCTATCGCAATGATCTGGGTCTGCTGCAGACGCTGTATCTGCTGCTGCAGCATGAGCTGGAGCAGCGTAATCTCAGCTGGGCGGTGGCACGTGCCGCACTGGGGCATAGCCTGCAGCCAGCCAACATGGCCAAGGCTTGGACACGCCTCGTCTGGCAGCAGGCACTGCATCACATCATCCTCTTGCCCTACCACATCTACTGTGAGCTGCTGGCGCTGCGCGACGTTGTGCTCCGAGGCCAGACCACGTACAGCACCACCTACTGTGCCCGGCTGCATCTGTATGTGCCACTGCTGATATATGCCCAGCTGGAGCTGTGCAAGATCTGCTATGAACTGTTCAAGGCACCGCGTAACATCTATGAGGTTCTCTTTGTGCAGCCAACCAAAGAGCTGAACATCCTGCACAAGAAGTCCTACGCTGGCCGCAAGATTGTGTCCTTTAGCCGCTCCATCGATGGCGCCCTGCTTCGCGAACGCCATCAGCATATGTTTGGCCAGAAGCTACGTGAATCCGACTTCAGTTTGGCCTGCCTGGCGGGAGCTGTCTATGATTATTTCAATACCTTCTCCGATACTGCGGCGGTGCCGGCGTTGCTGAACACAACCTGTCGCACCATATCCAAGGGTTATTTCACAGATCGCAGTGGCGATAAGTCGGCGCACATTGGCGGTGTGGTCTTTCTGCAGCTGCCACTTGGTTCACCCGACGCTTTGAAGGCGCATCAGCTGCATGCGATTGTGGAGCGCATACGCAGGCAGCAGATCATGATATATTTGGCCTCCATAGGACAGACCAAATACAGTCTGCTAACAGCGTTGCTGCCCCATGTCCTTACCAAGATCTTCATCAACTTTTTCTCCTATAACTTTCCCGTTACCATAACGGAGATCTATGGTGCAGCGGATACGCAGTTTCAGGCTGCCTGGGGGCAACGAGTGCAGGATGTACTCCTATTTCGACCACCGCAATCAAAGACTTGTCTCTCCCTGAATCTGCATCGATTTGGAGACAAGTATAGGCTAGCGATTATGGCTGATACCCATCTGGCTCCGGATCACACGATACTTACACAATCCTTTGAGCGTTATATGGAAACGGTGACATTGTAAGACCCATCACTGTATACCAGATCCCATTAAAAGTGCATGTAAAAATAACGTTGATATAATCTATATACATGAAAACGTGTGACTGCTTGACTAGATTGTGATGTGAATCGAATCAGATATCGAACATAACATACACGAGACATATACATATCCATTTACATGCACCCCTTGTGTATTATTTTGAATGTTTGAAAAATTGCGCGCGCCATTCACACAAAAATATCCATTCGCTGGCATGCACGGCCATTCACACATAATGAGCGCGCAAGTTGTGAATGGCAATTGGTTTTGACAGTAAAGCTGTCGGTATTTTCAAAATTGGCTGTGTTGAGCTTAGTTCGTAATGGAAAATTAAAGAAAACGCAAATAAAAACCCTAGCATGAAAGCTGCAAGAAACGGCAGCATTGTGGAAGCCCTATTACCGTTATTGCAGTGGAGTTAACACGTAGGCGCCAAATACAAACAGAAAGTTTGTATTACCAAGCGCACACTCAATCCGTTGCTCGATGGGCTTCAGGTTTCAGTCGCACAGTGAAGCCGGGTCTTGAAGGTCGTACACCCGGGCTACTCGACCGTCGTTCTTTGCCGCGTAAGCGATAATCACATACAGCCGGAGCCAGTGATAAAAGCTAAGCCAGTGCTAGGTCGCAAACAAATTGCCCTTGTTTTACACGTGACTCGCAATTAATTATGACAGCAAGACTTAATCAGAATTGAAGCAATTAGCTTTCGTGGCTGATAATCAAATACAAAACATAAACAAACATCCCAATTAGAACATCAATTACAGATCTATATGTACGTAACTGAATTCGAATTCGAATCTTTGTACGTAGCATGCGATTTTTTATGTTCTTTGTTCTCGTTCCGTCTGCCCATATCAAGTTTGTGATCTAATCAAAGCTTGTTACAATTTCGCCGAGTTTATAGAGAACGTTAGACAATAGACAAAGTTAATGTAAAGTTCACACAACCAAGTGAAGTGCGCGTTCATATTTGAATTAATAGAACATCCGGCTTATAGAAAAAAAAAAAACAAAAAAAAAGTTTATTAGTATGAAAATAAATTTGAATTAAACACTCCGGAACCGTAAACGGTATCAGAAAGATGATATTTCCTGAAACTCTTGTGAAGGGTATAATGTTTTCAAAGAAATGTATATAACCGGTAGGAAGAAGCATCTTCGACTCCAGAACGACGCACTGAGTCTATCTAGCCTAGTCTATATATTTCGCATACTAAAAGATTATAAAAAATAAATGCGCCCAACTGAAAGGGTTCGGATAATAGATACTAAAGCTATATATATACACTTATATTCAAGACTTTATGACCCGTAGTTTGTTGAACTTCATGTTCAGGGTATCTGCTAGTCGGTCACTCCCGAGTAGAGCACTGTTATTTGCTTTTCGTTTCCTTTTGTTTATGGCACTATTGTTTCTTATATGGCAATATCGGCACTTATGTACTTAGGCACCTCGAGGTTTCCAGCGTGGGGCGTCGCATTTGCTTTCCAATAAGAGCGCGCTTAGAACGCTCGTCGGCGACAGTTGATCTTCGCGAGACATTGACGCAGCCAATTTTCTCGGAACGCAGCTCGAGTCTCGCTTGAGCGTGTGGCTGATGTGCGCTGATTAAGCTGAAACGCAATCAAATCGAATTAGCGATAATTCAGAGCAGAAATGTTGCAACGGATGTTAATTTTGCTGCTCTGCATCTGCCCCGCATGGACTCAGGAGCAGCCCGTGCTTACCCTGGGCGCCTCTCGCCCGGCTACGGATGCGCTGAAGCTGTGGCTAACGATAAGCGCACGTAAACGTTTCCTGGAAGTCAGCTGGAAGCATGCTCCGGCACGGGATGGCGATCAGGTGCTATTAACTGTACAGGATCCGCACAGCTTTGAACAACGTACCCTGCCCACGGGCACGCCCCTAGCCGCCTTTGGCAGAGACAGCGGCAGCGACAGTAACAGCGACAGCGAAGAGAGCAGCGGATCGGGTGCTGACCAAGTGGCATATGTTCCCTTTCACGGCTACACCAGTACGCCCGGCTCAGTCGCCAAGGCTAAGAGTGTGAGCCTGCCGCGCCAGCACTGGATATCCAATGGTGGCAACAACGAGATCGTAGCCGCCATCAAGCCCAGTCTGTCCGCGCAATGGATCACCACGGGCGTGCCCTTTGATTATGCGCTCTCCCACAACGTGACCGCTCAGAGCGCCTGCTACGGCTACTGGGCCAGCTATATAGATGCTCAGGGACGCATACTGGCCAAGAGCTGTGTGCGTGCCTATCCCCGCTGGATGCATGAGCTGCGTGCCGTTGTGGGTGATCTGCGGCTGCGTGATCTCTTCATACCCGGCACACATGACTCTGGCTCCTATAGACCCAATTTTGATCCGCTGCTGCGCGAGAGTTTGGTGACCAAATATGCACTCACCCAGGACGATGATATACGTGGCCAGCTGATGCATGGAGCGCGCTATCTGGACATACGTGTGGGCTACTATCGACCTGCGGAGGATAAGTTTTTCATTTATCACGGAATTACAAAGCAGCGTCCACTGAAAGAGGTCATACAGCAGGTCAAGGATTTTGTGCTGGAAACCAATGAGATTGTCATATTTGGGATCAAAGAGTTCCCCGTGGGTAAGTAAATGTCGAACCTCCCATTGAAAGTCGAAGTCTCAACCTTTTATGCTGGCAGGCTTTGGCAAGAAACTGGGCGTGCATCGGCTGCTGGTCAGCTATTTGCGGGAGCATTTTGGTGATCTCATTGTCCATCCATCGCTGACCTGGCACGCGACATTGCGCGACATCTGGAAACGGCAGCAGAATGTGATACTGGCCTACGATAACAATGAGATCGTGCAGGAGTTTCCACAGCTGCTCTTTGGCCCCGTCGATCAGCGCTGGGGCAATGTGCAGTCCTGGGCGCGTCTGGAGCGGCATCTGCGCTACATCAACGACTTCGATGTGTCGTAAGTGGAGGCAATTGCTGCTACTGAATTGAATATTTGTATAGCTTGACTCTACTACACACAGACGCTTCTCGAGCCGACCAGTGGTGGACATGGCTGAGCTGACGCCGGAAACTTGGGATGTCATACTGGACAAACATGGAGGTCTGCGCAAAATGGCCGACAATGTGAACTGGCGCATATCACAGCTGTATCAAGATGAGCTGGGCGAGCATGCGAACATTGTAGCCGCAGATTTTATACGTGGCACCACGCTCGTGGAGACGGCAATCGAAATAAACAGACGCAAGGTCGTGTACTAGGCTGAAAGTAGTTCCAGACTATAATCCATAAAATCTACTTAAAAAAAGTCATCTCCATTTAGGCCCGACCAGTAAACAAATTCACAAAGCTGCAGGTTACATACACGAATAACATTTATTACTTCCATTCGAATAAGCCATGTTTTACAAATTTTGTATATGTTTGGAGTTCAACTTGATAAATATTTTATACTTAAGAACTAAAGTTTTGCTTATAGATTAGTTTTCCCTAAAAGTGTCACAACTGAGGCAAGTACATACGTATATATATATATATATAAATATATATAAATCTGTATATATAAACTGTGTGAGAAATTCCCAATAACTGTGGATGCTTAGCAAATCAAGAGCTTTAGCTAATGCCAACACTTGAATTAGTACAAAAATAATACAAAAACTAAAAACTATAGCTAGCATAAGCTTTTCCTATTTGGATTTGAGGAATGCTAACGTCTATGCGAAAATATCATACAAAATGTTTGGCGTGTTTTGAAGTGCCTTGGCTGGAGTTATGCATAAAATATCTGCTTTGTGTGGTAAAATGCATAGCATGGATGTGGGAAAGTGGTGTAGTTGGGGATTATATTACTTCAGCGACTCGTTGGACTCAATAATGGTTGTATTGAAGATGGCGCGGCATAGCTCTACCATTGCATTTGATAGGCGTCCGTAGCAGCGGGGCTTCTGCTTCCAGGCAATGCATACATAGTAGAACGGAATGCCGGCCAATGTGATGGCAATGCCAATGAGCAGATTGGCGGGCTCCTTGAAATTGGGCAACAGCACCAAGGTCACGCAAATGGTCATAAAGAGGATGGGCAGCGCCAAATGTACTTTGATGGGCCGCGGCAGATCCGGTCTAAAAAAAGAGAGTGTAGAGTCCTGTTAATATGCACGCTCATGTTGCTACAATCAACTTACTTCTTGTGACGCAGCCACAACATGCCCGCTATGCTGGCCACCACAGAGAGCCACAGCACGGAGCTGAAGTAGTTAATCAGCTCGTAGACATTATCGGTTAGCAGCATTAGCAGAGACATCAGGCACTATCAGAAAGAAATGTTTATTTGGATAACCAATTTGGGTATTTATGATAGTTAGCTGCTAACTAGCTAGCTTTTGCATTCACGAATGCATCAAAATGCAATCAAAATTTAAGCAAAGCTAGCAAGTCGGCAGCCGGAGTAAATAGTCGTAGCTGCATTTAATCTATATACTTACTGTAAATATCAAAGATGGTATCGGCGTCTGTTGCTTGACATGAAACAGCTGAAAGAACTTGGGCAGATGACCCTCTTGAGCGCCGGTGGCAAATAGACGTGCGGAGGTAAAGAGCACACCGTTGACGCCGCCAAATGTGCTCAGCGCCACAAAAATGGGCACCATAAAGGCCAGCGGTCCAAAGACCTTGTTGCCAAAGGTCACGGCAACGGCCAGCGAGCTAAGCATCTCCGGTTTAGAGACGACAGCGAAATAGGCTAGATTGACCAGCACATAGATGCCCGTGACCAGGGGCATGGCTATCCAAATGGCGCGTGGCAGATTTCTGGGCAAGCAGGGAAAGGGAGAAATGAACAAATAGATATTAGAGAAACCTTAAACGTGCCTGAAACACACTTGGAGATCCAAGCAGCCATATAGCACTTAAGTTGATTGCTGCGCCGCATGGGCAAATTGAATTCATTTGGGGGAAAACACAAAACTTGGGCGCTTCAACCACCCAGCCCCAACGCACACTTACACACATACACACACACACAAACACGCGCCCCAAGGACACTCAACAAGTGGGCGCCATCAACTTGTTGCTGTCGCCTGCTATGCATGACGTAAATGGCAAACAGTGCAAAAGCCATTTGTCTTCTCGTAAGGCCCTTTTGCTTAGTCATGCACTCCCCAACCACGCAACCACCCACTCATTCATTCATTCATTTATTTATTCTATGTGCCTTGTTAAGCTCACTTGTAGGGGTCCTGCAGCTCTTCAGTGACAAAGTTCAAATAGTTCCAGCCGCCAAAGGCAAACAAGCCCGAGTAGAAAGCGTAGCCAATGTTGCGTGTACTGTAACTACCCTCCCAGGGATTGGAAAAGTTATCCAGCTTGCCAGTGGCCATATAATAAAGGCCAGCGAGTATTATCATTATCAGCGCCAGCAGTTTGCCCACCGTAAAAATATCCTGCACCTTCATGGACACCTTGACGGACATGCAGTTGATGGCTGTGAGTAGACCTAATAGCAGGAATAACAGATAATATGAATACATATATACATATATATATATATATTCAGCACTCAGATAGATCTTTTATACTCACAGAGGCAAACGGCAGCCAGCAGCTTGACTGCATTTTGGGGCGGATCGCAATCCTCGAAGAACGGCTTGGCCGCATAATGTGCAAAGGTAAGCGCAACAATAGTCTGAAAATATTATTTAACTTTTTATTATTTAAAATCAAATTGGGTTTCTACAATATATACATGGCTACAAGAATTCGATTTACGGTTCAAAAGAATTGCTCTAAGTTTGGCTTCGACTCGTAGATAAGGTTTTCTGCATTTTTGAACCGAGTTTCCGGTTCAAACCCTTATATAGTTTTGAAAATTTAAACAATTTAATTTACAACTGCCCGTTGTACTGAAAATATTGTCGTCCCTACATATTTTCATATACAAAATACGGGCTAAAATTGTGCCCTACCAAAGGGGCCCCACCCCTTTGTACGTTGGGTCTGGAGCTTCCTCAACATTATTAATTTTCAACTAACAAATTTTATACAAAATAAAGAGCTAATACGATGAACGTGTTGATATAATGCAGTTCTTATATGAGAAATTGATTATTCTTAAAAAAAGCTACTTAATATTCAGTAAATTCATGTTTCTTATACTAGTTGAAAGAGATTTCTACGTATTTTCAAATTCAACTGTGCCTACAACACACTCGTTAATCAGGTTCTTCATGAAACAATTGCATTGATTCTCGTTTAGAGCAGCTGCTTTTACTTTTCTTGGGAGAAAGTTGTATTCACAGTCACAATTGAGCGCAATTCTGGTCGAAGGTTGACTCTTAATCAATTTATTTAACAATACAATACAATCAATCAATTCAATAATAGCAATAAATAAAACATTTAGATATTAGATGAAATAAAAAAAAAGAAACACTTTCAGCTCACCTGGGTTGTTGGCCTGATAATGAGCAGGGCAATCCATAGACGCAGAAAACCAACAAGTGGACCAAATGCGACCAACAGATAGGCATAGTCGCCGCCGGATCTGGTGATGCTGGTGCCCAATTCGGCATAGCAAAGAGCGCCGATTGTTGAAAGAATGCCGCAGGCAGACCAAATCAAAAGCGAGCTTCCGACGGATCTGAAAGAGGCGAACCGAGGGGTCAGCGTACAACTCAATAAGTGGACGAACAATGGACAGAGCGCCGCGTCGCTGCTTTCCGTTGGCTCGCTCCATTGGCTAAAGTGGTTCCACAAGGCAACCAAAATTTTCGCAGTATCACATAGTGCCCGAGTCTGAGTGTATGTGTGTGTATCGATGAGACGTGTTTATTTTGGGGCAGCTCGTTCTGTTGGTCTTGTAATTGTAGCACAGACTTCTCAAATACTTTCGAGCTGATGCAACAATTGTCAACGATTTCGCGATGCCGACAAAATATTCTCAAGGGCGCCAGCCACAAGCAATAGCATGAACAATAACAAGGCTTAATTACATAGAGCCCATGCTCCCGCCCACTAGCAATACAACCACCAACCCCCCTCCACCTTCCTCTAACTTATAGCCTTGCAATTCAGCTCAATTGGCTGGCAAAAAGAAATGTTCCAATTAACTATAAATTATCATGCTATTGACCTTTATCTGGGCGGGTTGACGCTTTTAATGAACTTGTAAAAGTTCGGAATGCAATTGTTAATCAACGAAAGCCCCAACTATTCTTTAAGATCAGCACCGGATTATACAGGTTATAAGATTGCTTCTTCTAATAAAAGCTGCAAAGGGCAAGGACTACTATAAATGTAATTCTATTCAAAAATGTTCTATGAAGGGGTTATCATTCGCGACGATCATTTTTTGTCTAGTAATTACAAGCTCAAGGCTCCCTTTGAAGCTGGCATTAAGGTTTCCACCTCTTTGATTCAGTTGTATACTTTTAAATTGGATGGGATACATTTTGAAGCCGCGTACTCACTCCGTATAGTAGAAGACTCCGGTGGGTGCTATAAAAATGCCCGAACCAATAATGGTGCCCACAATAATGGCCACCCCGTTGATCAGCGTCAGTTTACGCTTGAGCACAATTTTCTCATCCTGGCCGACTGTTTCGGCTTCCTTTATCTCGGCAGAATGTCCATTGGCGGCGGGCTCCACCAAGCTGGTGGATACCCCATTCGCATAGCGATCGGTCATTGTGCAATGGAGTCTTCTAACCTTAAGCACTTTATAGAATCGGCTTGATTCCAGATGTTCCAGTTGCGGTTGGTACAAATAGTTACTCTATCTCGGGCGCTGACATTGCCACTTTAAAGAATAAATAATTATAAATTGGTCAAATTGTTTCATATCACAGAGGGTATTATAATTCGATCAGAACACATATAACGCATATGTTAGGAACCCAAAGCTATCTGAGTGAAACTGATGAAGATATTTGAATTTGAAGAAAGTAAGTGTATAAGTCAGTGTCTGCTGGATCGCACAACTATATCATATTGAATAAAAACATAATTTCTGCATTTCTGTCTTAATGATTTCTTGACCAAACAGCAATTACGTGTCTCACTGACATTTATGGTAAAACTTATCTATGTACTGCAATATCTTGTGGCTTCCATGAAAAAAAAAAACCGTTAAAACGTGAGTTTATCAAAAACAAAAACCAAAACTAGTATTACAATTTTTTTTGACCAATTGGAAAACAGGATCAAATCGGTTGCAAATTCAAAATATAGTTAATATGTAAGAAAACTCTTTGTGGCTTTTTTATTGTCTATCTGCAAGAGTTTTCAGCTCTAATTATCATCTCGTTGCTTTTGTATTGACGGCCGTTAGATAGTGAGAGTGTCAACAACTATGACGTAGTCGTTGTCAATTGAAGAGTATAACAGCCGCTCGCCTTGTCTACGTAGCACAACGGAGTCTAGCCCAAAACAATCACATAAATATTAATAACTACGTAAGAAAACGCGTTAAGAACGTAGTAAAACTTGTGAGGGCAATGCACGAGCTGTTGCGTGCCAAATATTTAAAGATTTCGTCACACATTTGGAATTAATTGGAAACGCGCGTCGCGTGGCAATGGCCATAGTTTTATTTTGTTTTTCTCTTTTGCAGCTTTTGCTTATATGGCGTAATCTTTTGTTTATCTGCCTTTTTGTGAGAACATTCGCACGTATTTGCATTTAGTGCATATTTGGCTCTGCTCGACAATATTGCATTACCATAAATTATAACAAATATAGCGCGACACACAACAAATCCAGTCGAGCTACGCGTTGATACTGTTTCGCCAGTTTTGGCTACTGCAACGCGTTGGCATAGAGACCCGAGACCGGCATTTTAGCGCAAGCCCCCCAAAATAAGGTGAGAGCAGTAGTAGAGATGGACTCGTGACAGGCACGAGCAGGAACCGAACTAAAACTGTCAGTGGAGCGTAATTAATAATTTCTATCGCGCACAAAAAAAAAAATTTAAAAGCGCTACATCATAATAACAAACGATTTCCATAACAAATATTATATCTATTTAAGTTTCAATATTTTTATTTTATTGTCAACTTATGATTCCGTGTTCGTGGCACGCTTACTAGCCCTATACGCAGCTCTAGCTAAGAGAGAGAGTGAGAGAGCACTTTATCGAATTGAGTAATGTGCGAATGCGCCAAACCGGAAATTAAAAAGTGTTCCGGTGCCAATTCTATTTTTGTATAGTTACTTTTTTAAATTTAAATTTAAACACATATTTGCAGACGGCTGACAATTCAACCTCGGACTTTTATTTTAATTGCGCCCATTGCAATGCCGATATAAACAATATATAGTTATTCGATTAATATCATGATGTTCAACAATCGATGTTATTTTTTATCTTATCGAAATTTTGCCATTCACATTGCCATAGAAAATCAAATAGGTTGGCATTCCTTCAGTTTTTGTTTTGATTGTGGACACACGTGTTTCGCGAATACTTTCTTGAAAAAAGTTGAATTATTCAATATGTCCGATAAGTAAGTGTTTATTAACTATATAGATTATTGCAATATGAAATACAACGTTATTTTCGCCTTACAGATATGCCGTGCCCAACAAATTACCCGGCAAAACAGTGTCGGTGCTTAAGCACCGCAAGAGGCGCATTCAGCAGGATCAGTCGGTAATTGAACAAAAGCGCACAGATCGCATTAAACGCATAAGGAACGCCCGCACACATCATAAATTCAAACGCGCCGAGTCCTTCGTAATGGGCTACTTGAAGGCCGAACGCACATCCAAGCGCATCAGGCAGACAATTCTACGCACAAATATCACAGACCAAAGCGCCAAAGCTGCTGCAGAAACGAATCCCAGACTGCTCCTTGTCATGCGTCATGCGGGTAAAAAGATCTTTGACAAAACCACCACAGAAATATTTAAAACGCTGCACATGGGACAACGGCACAATGCCGTCTTTCTGGAGAACAGCAAGGAGAATCAATTGCTGCTGCGCGTAATCGAGCCCTTTGTTGTCTATGGTTTTCCAACGCTGAGCACCATACGCGAGCTACTGTTCAAGAAGGGTTTTGCTCGTATCGATGGTAAGAAGACGGCTATACAGTCGAACACCATGGTTGAGGAGCAGCTGGGCGATAAGGGTATTATCTGCTTGGAGGATATCATACATGAAATCTATACAGTGGGACCCAATTTCGCCGCCGTCAAGGAATTTCTGTGTTCTTTTATGGTAAGTCGAGCTTAAACTAAAGTCAGTATCTAAATGCTAAACGAGTTTTTGTCATATGCAGCTATCAAGTCCCCGCGATGGCTGGAAGAAAAAGGTCTCCGTCTCGTTCAAGCGCGGCGGCGAGTACGGGGATCGTGGTAACGGCATTAATGACCTGGTTGCGCGCTGCCTCTAAAACTTTAACCTAGTAGACTTTTATGTAAATTCTTTAAAGCGAAAACTAAACCAGAAATATAGTTATATATAAATAAGTTTTTAAACACATATATGCGTATTGCAAGTGCCAAGATATTGTTGTTTATTTCCTAAGAAACATGTCGCTTGTATATTTTGCCAGCGGTGACAGCAAAGCGGACATCGAATATCAGACAATCTCCTCGACTGCTACCCAGGTTAGCCAGGAGCAATCGGAGCGACTGCACGACCGCATCTCCAAGGCCCAGTTGCAGAAGCTGTACGAACTATTTAAATCAGCACCAGGTCAAGTGGTTGGCTGTGGAGATTTGCGACGTATGCTCGAGGATGTAGACATTACTTTTAACGATTTCGCCTATACGCGTCTCTTTCTAAAAATTAATCAGAATCATGACTTTATGGTGGACTGGAATGAGTTTGTCTCGTATCTAATATTCGGGTTTCAGGAGGAGGATCCCAGCAGCCAAAAGGAGGCACTTATTATGCCCATCTCGATGGCGCCAGTTGTACGCAAAACCGAGCACCGCTCAGCGGTCTGTTGCATAACATTGCTTAAGGTCAAGTCTGATCAGACTCCAATGGAGGAGATCACCGAATCAGCCAACTATTCTTTTGGTGGCGAGGACTCGCCCGAGAATTCGGGCATGTGGGTAACGGCCAGTCATGAGGGTCAATTGCGTTTCTGGAGCGCGCACATGGAGCCACTGCGCAGCGCCGTCTCCGAGAGCAGTAAGTATACGAGTGCAGTAAATGACAAAAGAGGATTGAAATTGAAATTGGGATGGGGGGGATGGAATGGGAAATTGAGATTGGAATCACGACATTCTTGTTACAGGCTTTGATCTAAAGAACTCTCAGTTACTTCTAAGTTTCCGTTTAATCACAGTTCACTTGAAGGTGCCCACCTGGATACTGGCCCTGCAGGCGCTGTCCGATGTGAGCATCGTGTGCACCGCCTCCACGGAGCGTGAATTACGCTTTCATGAGACGATTGCCTCGACCTTTACGCTGCGCATGGTCATTCGGAGCCTGCCGTATGCTGTCTATTGCATGAGCTATGCGTTCTACAATAATGGCAAGACGCACTCGAAGCTGGTGCTTGGAGATTATGCTGGTAATGTCCGGATCTTGTCGTATTCGCCATACCTGCGCGGTCCATTCCAGGCGAAGCCCGGCGCGGCGCTGGTTGAGCTAGTGTGGGCGGATGTGCTGCGCGGCCGGATACCGCTGCTAATACCAAGGGAATACATTAATTTGCACAACGAGCTCATCTCCTGCGTCTACTTCTCGCTGCACATGAACACGCTGTTCGCCTCGGCCGAGTACAGGAACACCAAAAAGTATCGTGGACGCTGCCCGGGCCTGATAATGGTCAGCAACGAGGATCGCAACAATTTTCGCATACCATTGGGGGTATCCGTGTTCTATGTGTCCGAGATCAAGAATATTTTGGTCACCGGCGGTCCGGATACCTTTGTGCGCATTTGGGATGTCTATATATCATCCGAGCCATCGGCCATTTTGACAGGACACAACGGCGGCATTGTGGCCGTCTTTGTGCAGCCGGAGGAGAATAAGGTGTACAGCGTGGACTATCATAAGATCATCAAGGTGTGGGATCTGCAGGAGCACACGCTGCTCCAGACCTATGGCGATCTGGTGCGCATCATTCATCACAGCGAAACCGATATTAAATATTACTATCATTCGCATTTGCGGGAGCTAATGGTCGCCGGCCGCAAGCTCATCCAGATCAAGTGCTGTCCCCGTGTCCGGGTCGATCTCACCGATGGCAACACCCATGCTGCACCCGTCTCCGTGGTCCTCTATAATCGCCTGTTTCGCAACATTGTGACCTGCGGCCTGGATAGCTATATTATAGTGTGGGATCCGTGGACGGGTCGTCGCAAGATCATCATGAAAAACTGTCACACCAAGATGATTTACGGGGAGACCATTGACATTGAGATTACGGCTGCCTGCTTCGATCCGCTGGAGCAGTTCCTGTTGACGGGAGCACGCGATGGTTCGCTCAAGATTTGGAACTACAACAATGCTGTCGTGGTGCGCAATATGAGCATTCAGCCGGACCAGGAAGTGACTGCCGTCATCTGGGTTGTAGATCGGTAATTTATATACAAATATTACCCGGCCGTATATAATCCTTACATTTTCGCTTCCAGTATACTGGCCATGGGCTGGGACCGACAGGTGACCGAGTTCAATGATGTGGAGGGTCGCGAATATGGCGATCCAAAGAAGTGGGCAAAATTTCATACGGACGATATCACCTGTGCCGATGTCAAGCTGGGCGAGGGCGTGGTCACGGCCACCTACTCTGGCGAGATCATCTTCTGGAAGCTGGAGACGGGTCAGCCGTATCGACGCTACAATGTCATGGATCCCAGTCGCTTTATTGAGCTAAAGCTGAATGCTGAGGAGGAGAAATTAACGCGACGCAGCAAACGCATGTCCTCACTCATAGGCGTAAATAGACGAAGCACTTCCGTGCAAGCCATTAAGCCGGATGAAATCAAGGATTATGGAGCCAATATACCTGTTTCCGTGCAGGCTGTGCTCTTTCTACAGCGACGTCCAATGACCAAGGAACATGGTAAGTTGAGTCCCCAACTAACATCTTTAACATTCGCTCAACTTCTTTTTCTTAACGCTGCCCAGGCAGCGTCTTTATCTCCCTGGATACGGGCATCATTCAGGTCTATTCGCATCATCAGCATGGCGGCTATATTAAACAGTTTACGGCCGTCCACAAAACAGGCGACTGTGTGCTGACCATGGCCACAGATCGCAAGAATCGATTCCTCTATACGGGCACAGCCTTTGGTTACATCAAGGTTTGGCATATTGTCAATTATTGGTAAGTAGTCGGTTAAAATGGGGCTGGTAAGATCAGAATCCGATTCCAATCGATTGCACAAAAATGTTAGTGTTTTATGTAATAAAATATTACATAAAAATGTTAATAACAGTACATAGGAAAGAGGTTAACATACTTAACCCAGACAAACATCTTTCATACATGTTAATGTGACGCTGTTAATGTTAACATAAATGTAAGTAACAGCAGGTTTACAGCTGCACACCTAAGAATTGATAGAATCGGACTTCCCAACGTCCCTAACGTTGGATCCCCTGATCCTTTTGCCATCTTTGAAACTTTATCATTTAATGCGAGCATTCACTGTACTGAAGAAACATAAAGAAACCACAAAAATTGACTCTAACGACACGACTCATTATCTTACATGTGTATCAACTTGTAGACCAAGTCATCCACCCACAAGTTACTTTGGCAGGCCTTGCGTGTCTCACCGAATTCCAAACAAACTGGTTTTTTTTTTTTTGGCAACAAATAAATAAATAACTCATAACTAGAACTGGCGGGGGCGAAGG